AATTCTTACACTTAAATATGAAAGTAACAAAAAAAAAAAAAAAAAAAAAAAAAAAAAAAAAAAAAAATGAATTTATTCATGTAATTTCATATTCTTCATTAAAACTGATATATATGTAAAATAAGAAACATTTATAATAATATACAAGTTCATTCATAAATATGCATATATATATATATATATATATATATATATATTTTTATTTATTTATTTCATATATTTAGAATCAAGCTGATAAAAGTTTGAATAATTTTATAAAAATGAAGAAATATGATAAAGAGATAATTTCTGATCTTATTACAACATATAAAAAATATGGTTATAAAAAGGAAGAGGAATATTTATTAACTTTATACAAAGGAAAAGATTAATAAAATACAAAAAAAAAAAAAAAAAAAATTTAAATAGACAAAAAATTATTACAAAATTTTCACACACATATATAATAAATTTTTATTCATAAATAAATAGGAATATATAAATTTTAATTTTTTAAATTATATATATATTTTTAATATAGCTAATTGAATTATCTAAAAATATAACCAAAAAATAAAATTATAAATTCAAAAAAGAATATAAAAATATATTAATCTTTAATGAAAATTATTTAAAATTTCAAAAAAATAAATTTATTATTTGAATTAGAATAATTCATAAAATGTGATGATTTACCAACATTTTATGTAGCATCAATAATTTATTAATTATAATATTCTAAAATAGAATGAGAAAAAAAGAAAAAAAAAATAAAATAAAATAATTAAACATTAAATATTGTTTAAAAAAAAATAGCATGTAATATCATAGGAAAATTAAAAATAATAATTGTTTTTGTAATTAGGTTTTCTCATACAAATAATAAAGTTTATATTTTTACGATTCATTAGCCCTTTTAATACAAATTTAAAAAATATTAGATTAAAGCAAAAAGAAAAAGGAATAATAATAATAATAATAATAATAATGATAATTTAAAAAATTAAGTAATAACCTTTTTAGTATATTATAAATGTTATAATTTTTATTAAAAAAGATATAATTATATTTCATATTTTGTTTTTTATCTAAATAATAAAGACTAAAATTAAAAAAAAAAAAAAAAAAATAATCGTATAAAATTATGTATTTTAAAAAATAAAATAAAATTTCCTAATTATTAAGAAAAATACAAATATATTATTTATTTATAAATTTCATGTGTGTTATATTAATACTTACATAATAAATATATATTTATAAGCTAATTTTATATCTTTAAAAAAAAAATACTTTCATACAAATTTAAAATAAATGATTTATTGTTATGAAAATACAAAACTATTATGGTATGAATATAAAAACTTAAAAAAAGGTGAATTTTATAAAAATAACAAAAAATGATTTACTTGAAATATATATATTTAAAAAGATAGGAATAAGCTATTAATAAAAAGGATAAGGAAGGAAAGAAGGAATAAATAAAAGAATTGTGTAACATTTGAAGATGTTAAAAAATAGATATAAAAAAAATGCAAAGCGCGTAGTTGAGTATATATTTATGGTGATATTATATATAATTATATGGACTATTTTACTTCTAAAATGTTTAGTTCATAAAGTAAAAAAACTTTTTAAATTACGAAAAATTTTTAAATTATATGCTGTTAGAAATATATTCCATAATTTATTTAATAAACATATTTTCAAGAATATTTTCAAATGGAATGATTTGTTTTTAAAATATTTAAATTTATTTAAAGAAGAAAAAGATAATAATATTGAAATAAATAAAAAATTAAATAAGATACCTAAGCATATATATATTGTATTAAAAATCAATGATGTTATTATGTTAAATAAAAAGAAACTTTTAAATTATTTTTTGAATATAATAATTTATTTATATGAACTGAGAGTAAAATATCTGACAATATACATATCTGATTATTTTTTTAATTCATTATTTTATGATGATCTAACG